CTAAAGAATCGTCAGTTTTTTTTTCATCAATTAAAAAATGTATCACTACAAACTAATTTCGTATTATGTATAGTATATATACATCATGTATCTCCTACAGCGTATTGTTGATTTGTACTAAAGAAAAAAACAATTTGGTTCACGTCTSTGAAAACACGGTTACGATGCACAGCAATATCAGAAAAAAATACTATAAAGGTTATTTACACCTAACATGAGACAGAAAATGAGATTTGTCGACTAAATAAAATGAATAAATAATTATTAATCGAGTCGTAGACACTGCCCTAACCGAAGACCGCTTTKCACTGCTCTCAGCAACTGACGCAAACTACAAAATTATATCGATAAGCCATAATATTATTTCGCATGCRATTAGGCGCACCTGAAAGTCAGCGTGGTCAGCGGTCGGTACGACTTGTGGCTGTTGGGGTCCGACAGCGGTGTGCCCCAAAAGTCGTTGGTGGCCACGAGGGCCAGCGGGCCGGTGCCCAGCACGTCGGCGTTCATGGCCACGGCCGGTATGTCGTCGTGCACGAAATCGCCACGCAGACCGTTCCAATAGCACACGGTCACGGCCACGGCGACGGCCACGTAAACGGCGACCGCGGCTTCGGGCCACCCGTGTCTGGGTCGGGCGCGCCTGCCGACGCCACTGCCACTGCCGCCGGCGCCACCACCGCAACCGTGATGGTACTGGTGGTACTGCTGATACTGTATATGCGTGTTGTTGTGATTATGATTATGCGGCGACCCCCTCATCGTATGTCGGCCACCATCTGTACCACCGTCACAACAATCATTCCGCCACGCGAACGGTGAACAACGAATAAACAATTATATATTATTATATTATTATATTCTAAAAATATTTGATCGATACAAATCGATGTAATGTCATAATATATTTTCGTAAAAACTAGTACAGAAATTAATACGATCAAACGAGAAAATCGTGGACCATTTGCGTTTATTTGTTTTTGACTTTTATCAAATGCCACGGTAATATAGTGTTTTGATTTATAATATCGCGTTACCGAGCCGCCCGACGTTGGACGGAGCACCGCGCGCGGACGACGACGACCGTACCGATGAGTACCACATTGCGACACCGATTACCGAGCGGCGGGTACAACAGACCGGCGAGTACTGACGTGCCGGCACGCCAAATTGCCAAAGTCCCGACGATGCCGTCGGTGGCCGCGTGCGCGGTTACGGTTGAACGGCACAAATAACCGACGACGTCGCTCTTGTTCGGCCGGCAGAGGGCGAAACGCCGCTACCACCACACATGTCCACGGACGACTCTATTCTCACCACCATCCCGCTCCCTCATCGGTTATTACGTCCGAGTAGTATTATATTATTAATAAATTGCATACTATACGGACTTTTTTTTTGTTTTTGATTTCCGATAGAAATGTTAATATTCTAAATTCGATTTATCTACGCACATATAGATAGTTTATTTTATGGTCACAGGAAAATATTAAGATTATTACTTTGTATTTTAATAACTTGGGGTGGTTTTTTTTTTAAGTTATAAATCACAATCGACATCAAACACTAAAAGATAACATGGTTTTTTTGTAAATTACAATAAAGGCTGTGTATAAGTATAAKTATACAACAACAATTTTGTTTAAAAATTCAACAGTCTTTCGCCAAATCAACTCTTGAGTATCATAATCGTAATTATTACCATCATAAGGAAGCATATAATATTAGATACTCATTACTCAAAGATTAAATTCAAATAGCTGATGGCTTTGAAGCACTAGATCCCTGGCAACATCGAAAACATATTCAGTTTTTTAAAATGAACTAAATTATACAACTTAATTTAAACACTCACATTTTTAAAGACATTGTACAATTGTTTCCTCTTGCTTTTTTTTTAATTTAAAGTATTTAATTTAAAATATAGTATTAATCACGTCAACTGGCTTCACCATATTATATTGCAATGGGGTGCCTGAGGAGAGCGACATTTAGTTAATATTATCTTTTTATCACTTGTAAAAAACTATGTGCTGTATAATCAGAGACTTTTAACTTCCCCCCCTGATTTATAATTCTACGAACGCTCTTGGCACTGTTGAAAAATTAAAATAAGAGTATTAAGTGAATAATCTTTTTTTACTGATTTTTATTTTTAAATATTCCATTGTGATATTAAAATAATATGTAATAGTGAGCAAAAACAAAAATGTGCTCCAGTTGTTTTATGAAGGGGAAAATTGTACATAATATGCATATATATACAA